GTGGGTGATCAATAATTGTGATGTTTCTGAGCCATGCCTGAATTGAACAATGAAGTCAGTGGTCACAGACGGTGGGAGCCAGCATTCTTCCTCCAGGATCAGAAGTTCCTGTTTTGTGCAGGTCTCAGCCACTCCGTAACCGATGCAGTGGTGGACCCACCTTTGTGGTTCTTATTATGACTACAAGTTATCCTTCAGCTAGAACCACACGAATCTTTGAAAAATACAGGTTTGTTACTTGCAAGACCTGGAAATTACACAGCACACCTGGGGCCACAGATCAAGGTCATGGGTTGAGAAAGAGTGAGCCCATGCCCTCCCCACCAGGAATGTGGATAGAGCCTCAGCTGACAGAGGAAGGAGCTGGGGGTGGGAGACAGAGACAGAGACACACAGAAAGACAGAGACAGACCAGCTTTCTTGGGTACCAATTTGAGAGTCATGGGGGCAGAGGCACTGGGGCCTTTGTCCTTTTGCTCCTTGCACTGGAGATGGGTTCTGACACCTCACTGCACCCTGTTAGTGGAGAAGCACTGGAGAAGTGGGGACAGTTAGAGACAGTCCTCCGTGAGGAGCCACAGCAGGAAATTCTGAGTGTGGCCATGGGGCTCCAGTCTAAGGATGGTCCAAATGTGGCCCATCCTCCATGGAGAGTGGGCAGGGGGCCCACAGTGCTGGAAGCAGGGGGATCTCTGCTCTGGTCTCCTGTCCCCTCATCTCAGTCAGGGGGGACGAGAGCTGGGGTTAGCAGCGGCACTGTGGAACCTGTTCCTGGGGCCCACGGGGTGAGGGCAGCTGGGAATGCAGTGTCTGCTTGAGTCTGGGCCCAGGGCCCAGCTGCCTTGACCCCGGGAAGCTCAGAGCTCACGTGGGTCCTCCCAGTCCACTCCTCATGACAGACACCAGGAAGAGGAAGTGGAGGTAGGGGGCAGTGACCAGAAGGCAGTGCTCTTCCTCCCAAAGGCTGAGGGGATGAGAGAGAGCCTGCAACTCTGCCTCCTTGTGGCTAGAGGTCCTGGGGATGTGCAGGTAGGGTGAGAAGTTTGGGTTCTTCTCCATCCCCACTTCTTCATGATGCTCACTGTCCAAGGCATCTCAGCCTGACCTTGGATGCTCCACACTCATGCATCCTCAGGACCTGTCCTGAGCTCACCCTTGAGTTTAAAGGTCTACAATCATCACCACCAACCACATCTTCACTGTCCTCAGTCCTCCCTGAACATGTGTATGAGAAAGACAGCTCACCCAGCTCACCACTCGGTATCCTGAGCAGCAGGTAGGAC